TTTTATATAATTTATATGATTATATACAGAAACAGTTATATGTGGAACACTTTTCCTCGGGTTGTTTTTAGTGAGCGATAATTAAGCGCTAGTTTAAATTCTATTTTATATTAATATTTATATTTTTAATGTGCAAAAAACGTATTGTCAACGAGACTGTAACGATAGAAATTATTTCAATTTTGTTTGGAGTCATTTCTTTGTTTCTCAAAATTTTAGAGCTATTAATGAGAAATGTAATATATCAATATATTTGATGAATTATACAAATAAATAATAAGATGTTATTCCAAATTTAATTATTTAATTTTAAACAAACTTTATTTTATTAAATATCCCGTATATTGTATCAAACAATACATTTTTAAAGGACAGGCAGGATAAGTGGATCGTGCATATATGAATAAAAGTTAAGTGAAAAAATACATGGTAATAAATATTTTATTCAAATCGTTGGACAATCACATTAGTGAATTATTTCTAATATTTAAAAAATATATACAAAAGATATTTACAAATAAACAATTAAACGATCCGTCGTTACTGCATTTGATATAAAAATAAATATGTCGTAATGCATTTCCTCCTCATAATCTTTATATCTTACGACACGCAATCGCAATCGTAAAGTAATGAGTCGCAACATTCAGGAAAATACGCAAACGCAAGAAAAAAAATAGACGTGCGTTATTAGTTTTGTGATGCGCGCTCATGAATTGACAACTAGTATTCTTGAATTGATTTCAAGCTCGTCGCAATTTCTTTCGCTTCCTTTAATCGCGAAGTAAAAAAAAAATACTTTTTTCATCTTACAATATTTTATCGCAACATGTCGTTTATGTGGCCGGTAGATACATATTAAAGAAACAGACATTAAACTCAAGTAGCACACAACGCCTACAAAGCGTTAACAAAGCGCTGAAAAAGAGGATATAATCATTTTTTTTTTTAGCGCTTTGCAAGCATTGCTTTGCTATTTGGGAATCCTGTTTTTCAATTGTATCATCATTCTATTTTTAACCAAACAGATCAATTCAACGAGCACGATTTTCCAATATCACTCTTTCGACATATAGCAAAATATAGTCCCAAGAATATCCAGCGGACATATCCTTAAGAATCTTCGGACGTTCAGATTTGATTTATAATTTAATATGTAGGTACTTGCGATAAGATTAACATTATTGTGTAATTACTTAGTCGTTAAATTAACGACTGTACATGTGGGGGTATCTTTAGGATACACGCGGATGTTTTTAGAATATTTCTTAAAGGTATTTATAGTATTTTATATTAGGATAAACTCTCTTCGCGTCATTTTATACTTTACATTTAAATATATTGTATATCTTTGGATTTCTATACGGAGATACAGCTGTCAGAAATATTCTTAGTTAGCTACGTCCTTAAAGTTGTTAGTGTGACATTGGATGTCTTAAAATATTCTTCTCAATGTTCTGAGCAAATCGGAATATCCTAGAATCGCGTGCTACATGGAAATCGAGTCGATCCAATAATAGCAATTAATTACAATTATACATCACGTAAAATAGCTCGATGCGGATATCTTTCTCTGTATATATCTTTCGAACATGATACTCTAACAAAAACTTTGTCGTAGTTTTAATTGCGCGTACACGGAATATATATATAGTCTCTTTCATTTTGATTAGAAGTGTTACTCGGCGATAACAATCGATTCGCGGGAGTAACAACGCTATTATCGCGCGTTTTCGCGTACAACCTAAATCATTTGAGATATATCTCCTTATGTTATTTTATTACCATTTCATGTCATCTCGTGCCCCGCAATCTTTGGTCTCTCTCACTTTCTTTGGTTTCTCCGCTTTCTCGTACTCACTCAAACATGACAGGGTGTAGCTAACGTACGTCGCTTCTGCATTCCTACAATATCTTTATTTTATCTACAAATCTATCTTTATTTACTACTAAATATTAATATATTTACGATATTATAGATCACAAATGAGTCTTTTCTAATAATTATTACTGGACATTACATGCCACAAGTTTTACAGAAATGTTTCCTCCTGAACACAATAATACTTCATATATCAAACTTGATCAGATATGGATAGAGGTGCATCTCAAAGAATGAAAAATTCTGATATTTTTAATCTTCAATCATAGTTTCTTATCATTTTTACTTAAAAGCGACTATTCAACTACACCCTGCACGCTTTAGAAGATTTATCAATCGGGAGAGCTCAATCGCTAAAGTTACTTCAAGTTGTCATTCATCGTTTGTCACAAACTGGTACTCTCTTCCCTCGCGTCTACTCTTTCCAACATTCCCTTTTCGTCGATACCTACAAAGTACGTCGTGACCTCTCCTTTCGGCTTGACGTACGTTTCGCCACGTAAATGACACTTGACACCTTGTTGCTCCAAGACGGCAGCCGTATCCGCTGTCACCTAAGCGAACGGTAATATAAATAATTTTACTGCAAAAATGCATTAATATTAAATAAAATGTTAACATTTACTTGTATTTTTCCTGGCAGTCCAGTAGTATCCATCCTGGACGCCATGTTTACGGCATCGCCCCAAATATCATACAACGGCTTTTGAGCCCCCACGACGCCGGCCGTCACCTCTCCGTGAGAAATACCGATTCTTAATCTAAAAAGAAAAGTCGTATTTTGTTTTTTATATTATTCTTGGAGCAACATTCGTCCGTTTAAGTTATTTACGACATTCTCGAACTTTATCTCAAACACACACGTTTCGTCGAAGCTTCTTATAATTTTGCCTACCGACTTTTACTTGGAATCTACTTACTTGTGAGGTTTCGATGTAGTGAACGACCTCGCGTTCATCTTATCGAGCACGGACATCATTTGTACGGCGAATTGCGCCATTACCTTGACCACATTGTCGCTGCAATTCTCATCGCTCTCGGTGCTGTGCATTGAACCGCGTCGGTGCGCTTCCAATCCGCAAGCTGCCATGTATGTTGTTCCTAAATGAAAACAGTATCAAACGAACTCAAATTATTATTTTAGATTCCAGTTTGTGTCGGTATTAATTTATTCATCATAAATATTCGTAATATTCTCACCGGCGACCTTTATTTTCTCTATGCGACACATGAAGCTAGGTTCGAAGAGTAACTTGTCGAATTCACAAATAATTTCGTTCAGGTCGCTGAGAATGTTACTTTCGAGAATCGACAGCTCTGTCAGAGAGGCAAACATCACGGCAACATTGTTATGAGCCTCGTGATAAGGCTCGTTCTCTTCAGTTCGGTTCATGTTTAAATAAAACTCCGCTAAAAATACAAAACCAGTCACGCGATCAGTCTCGGACAGTAATATAATCGTCTCGATTACTAAGTGTTTTTTAAATCAATATATCGATCGGAGAATTCTCTCGTAAGAACTCGTAAAATATTTGCAGAGACCAACGCACCGACATGTTCCGGTAAAATATTACGGAGTAAAAGTTTATTGGCATTCCTCGTATGAAACGCTTCGTCTTGTTCCTTCGTTAACTGACGTTTCCACTGATAATCCAGCCTGCTTAAATATTCTGCCTAAATAAATGTTCGTAAAATTAACTTGTTGATGAACAATACCAAAAAGATTTCGCGTGAATGCGATATTTCAGGACTTACCTGACGGTCGATGAGATGCAAAGAGAACGTGAGAAATAAAACGGATAATATATGCGCCAGTCTCGGCTCCATGTTAGGATTCCACGTGTCGCTCAACTAAAAGGCATTACTATCTGTCATTTATTATTAACAAACAATTTTGTAAATGTATGTCAGATATTTGAAGGCAATATGCATTTTTTTATCAATTTTGTAACAGGAGAAACATTTCTTTAGAGAAATATGTATGTAACACCTCAAATATATTAGATCGATGCACCCAAACGTTCCACGCGTAAAAGGCTACCACGCAGATGCTTATCACGAATTTCAAGATATAGTGAACTCTTAGGAAAAGAAAACTCGTGAGAATCGCCAACGAACAGGTTTCTGTCATTTGCTGGAAAAAAAAAAAAAGAAATCAATGACGTGCGGGAACATTGAGAAAGGGATTGTCAAGATGGGAAATTTCACGTGAATGAAGACACCGTGTACCTACTAAATAATCTTACCCAAGGTGTAACTATGCAGTCAAACTTGGAGGAGACCTCCGACACGCTAGACGTTACATTAGCGTCCAATAAGTTGTCCTCATGGTGGTTTTTACATTCAAACTAAAAAGAGTTTTAATTGCAAAAGAAAGAAATTCGATTTACACAGCTAATAGATAACTTCCAAAGCTGATTTCGTAAATGTATATGAAATAATAGACAGAAAAGGAAAGAATTAATTTCTTAAGAAAACACTTAATTTTTTTAAAGAGAAACCTTACAATCATATCAAGCATGGCGCATGCTGCTAGCATTATCGTAATCACCAGGTACAAGATCGTCCTCAGAAGGGCACTCCATACAACCTACGTGAAAATAATAACATGAAAAAGAAAGCTGATATAATTGAATGTATACGTGTAATAAGCGTTAAGTATTATAACAACGTTAACTATCTACCTTTACACTTGTTTGATAAAAAAAATAGAGCAGTTTGTTTCGTGGATGCGGAACGTGTCCTTCGTGCTCATCATGCGGGTCCTTACAGCGATTCCATATGAAGTGCATCCATGTGAGGGGCATTAAAGCGAACAGGAACATCAATACCGAAAAATAACCGACAAGTGTGCGCAGATGCCATCTAAAAATTTATCGATTTTTATTAAATTATTCAATCGACAATCTACGATTACCGGACAGGTACTTTTGATATACGTACTGGAGCTGCATAAACGTGGGTACAAGATACATAAATCCCATGAAGATGAGCACGAAAGCAGAGCAACCGATGTAAAACTTGAAAACAGGGTCTGGTTCACGCAGGAATGGAATCTCCCAACTCCATTGCCGAAATGTCAGGAAGAGTGGATTAATGTGTTTCCAGTTGCTCCATTGTCTAGAAAAAACGTAATTTAATTCTAGAATCTTTACTCTCTCACTCTTCCAAATATTTTTCCATCGAAATGTAATGCTTCGCCCAAAATTGTAAAAATTGAACGAGTTTCTGAGAACTCAACGATTGGATTTTCAGACAGACTAGATGCAAAAAGTCCTTACTCCCATTTACTAAGAGGCATCTGGTTAATTGCGTTCTCCATCTCGGCGTCCGCTGCTTTCAACATCAGATGATAATCTCGTAGACAAGAATCCATGAAGTGCGTCCTCCGTCTGTAAGTGCTCGCAAAAACGTCCGCCTGATTGTTTACCATCAATCTTGTTCTGGAGTTGGTGCTGATGATGGTGTTGCTACGCCCATTGTTGAACTTGACGTAGTGCTTGTTAGACATAGAATATGACAGTGTCGGCGTATCCGGACTAATGGTGTTCAAACTGTTCTCGCTGTTCTGCAACAAAGTTCGTCTGTCAACGATGCAAAACACTCGACTGGGAATTCGCTCAAGAGCGTAGTATGAGAAATCAGTGGCGTAGGAGTATTCGTTCGTGATATTGAGTATATAAAAGCCATAGAGAAACATAAATTATAGAAATTATTGCGTTAAAAATTTTTCTCAGATTTTTAAAATATAATTTTTTAGAATTTCCAATTTTTTTAATACAAATTGGAACATTTTTCAGAAGGATCGAGAAAATTTACATTCTTTTCTAGAATTTTTAAAAATTATACAATATTAAGTATAAATTTGTGATTTCCCCACGCCACTGGGAAACACGCACCGCGTCGGTGACAGTATCGGTGTTTCTGGCAAAGACGGCGTGATGAGGTAGCTACGGATTTCATATTTTCGAAGGACCTCGTCATCCAATCTTTCGACGGGGATGTAGTTATAGTCGCTCGCGTTCACGAGATCCAGCGTTTGCTGAGTAACGTGAACCTTGCCAGGTTTCCCAGTCTGTTCCATTTTGTTCGCTATCACCACGTCGCGCGACCAAACGTCGTATTGCCATTTGTTCGTGCCCAGGATTCCGGATATTATGTTGCCTGAGTGCACGCCAATTCTCATATTCACGTCCACCCCGCTCTCGCGATAGACTCGCGTCCTCACTTCGTTGATTATTTTTATCATATCGAGGCCTATATATATACATATATATATATATATATGTGTGTGTGTGTGTATATTATTTTATGAAGCAATATTTAATCATACAGAAAAAACATTTAGAAAGATTTTCGTACAATTGAACATCAATCTTAAGATTTTTAAACTTCTAATAAATGAATGTCTGTCTGATATCTCTGAATTAATGAATTATATTAGAATAACGTTGTGCGCGATTTGTGTGCGTCAATCTAGATTTTTGTAATAAAATTAGATCCACGAATTACAAACTTTGCCTATTTTTGAATTTGGAAACATTATTTTACAAATGTAAAATGTACAAAATAACATTTTCTAAATATCCGCTCGACCTTTACTAATTGAATTACATTCTGTCGAATGATTGCAATGGATAAATAGACACTCTGCCATTTTACCAAGATCGACGCAGCTCTTGGCATGCTGAGAGTTCGGCGTGGGCACGCCGCTCACGCAGTAATAACAGTCGCCCAAAAATTTGATTCTCAGTACATTGTGCCTCTCGGATGCTTCGTCGAAACTGCCGAATAGATCGTTCAACGTCTCCACGAGTTTCCGTATCGGCAGCGTTACAGTCAACCCGGAGAAGTTCACTACGTCCGCGTACAGAATACTCACGTTATCGTGCGTCTCCACGCATAAATCGCTGAAAGAGAATAGTTGGAGTATAACAATCGAATCGAAAGAGAGCATAGTACTTGCTGTGGAAACTTCGTACCAATATGGTCTGTCTTTTGGCGGAGGACTCTTTTTGTGCTCCTCTATGAATTTGAAAATATCCCGAAAGTCCTTTTTTATTTTCGCCACTATGTGCTGTGGCAATATACTTCGTGTCAGTTGCTCCTAAAATTGTTGAAATTATTTCCAGTTTCAGATACGTTCGATCAATCAGTCGATTTTTTTATTGTGAACTCTGGTAGATAAATTTAAGTTTGTAAAAAATACAATCCAACTTCTGTATGGCAGTAAAAATTCATCGTTAAAGCTTTCGGCAAGTATGTGTGAGAATTTTTATAGATTTTTATACAGTGCAGAACAATAAAAAAAATCTGTACTTAAGTCCGAAGAACCCAAACCTTGCGAACAAGGCGTGAAAATTTCACATTGCTGATGATTAAGTTTCTATAATTTTATATTTAGTTTGAATGTTTGCAATGTTCGCAAATTCCGATTTTTGGACTCTATCATTAGATCAGATCTATGATTACTTTTATAATATCTTTTTGCAGTTTTCAATTTTATATTATTCGCGGAGGTAGAAATATACCTGGTAAGATGATGAATAGTAGATGATCGATCTAGAGAATGAAGTGCAAAGGACAACAAGAACTCAATTGTGTTTATCGCATGTTTACGTGCTCAGCATTGTGAATTTGTTTTTACATTCTCCTCGTACGGAATGCTACTCATTTGTCAAAGGAGAATTACTCAAATAGAACAGGAAGAAAGAACAAAGGAAAAAGAGATTTAACAGACGCTTTCCGTTAATGAAAATCATCTCGAAATTGTTCAATATCTCATTTTTAATCTGACAAATGTGACGAGATGTGTGTCGCAATAATTCAATTACGTCCGTTTTAAACCTACTTCTTGATCCTTCTCGTAATTGAGCCTGAGCGTCGACTCGACGCATTTCCGGCGGTCCAGGAAGGAGCGTCTGATGACGACCTCGTTCATGAACCTGAAGTAGAGTCCCAGAGCGTTCACGCACATGAAGTATATCGCATCGCTGACGATCTGCGCATTGGGGAGTGAACAAAAGAAAGAAAAGCATTTTCCATTCTTAGCTGCTGGTTTACTCGAGCAATCGCACTGCGGTTTGCATCAGCGCGATTACGTCGCGTATCGCCGGCGTAGGGTTTACCTTGGTAATGTAATCGGACGTGTTGTTGTAGGTGATTATTGACAGGGTCGCCAAGTAACACATGCTGGCCGTAAGGCCGAGCACGAGAGCGTGCGAATTCTTTGTGATCGGCAGGAACACGTAGCATGCGAGAAGCGAGTGCGTCGCGTATGCCGGTCTGAAAAGAAAGAAATGCTGCTGCTAAAGAAAAAGCGCGTGTATGTAGTACGCACGTGGCACACGGGATATTCGCGGATGCATGCCTTATTGCGACGAAAATGGTCAAAGTATACGGAACGTAATCGTCTTTACGTGTATAACGGATCTCAGATTTAACGAGAGAAAAAAAAATGCAACCGTGGCACGCACGTTAAACGATCGGTGGAGAATATAAAATGTATGCGCCCGTATATCGCGCATCAAGGATATTTTCGATTCTTCTATGTCGACTGATTTTATTCCGCTAGGAAGGCCTTTTACATTATTAACTGAATTAAATATACCGAATTAAGTATACTGAAAACCAAATAATTAGATCAATTTTTTTCGAAATCGCTTCTCGAGCATATTTTCTTTATATTCGAAATACAACATAACAGTTTGAAAATATCTATAACTGTATATATAAAATTTGATTCTCATTAAATTATAATTGCTGTACAATTGTTGACTTTTCAGTTTCCTAATCTTCTAAGATATGTCATAATCGCTTAAAGGATACATCGCGTAATCTTAAGAAGCATTCCGTTTGAAAATTGTGCCTGTTCTTAAATTATTATTGCTACGCGTATATAGACCAGATAGAAATCACAATATCAATAATATCAGTTGCTGTTCTGGACAATTGCTATTTTTGTGTTGCGCGGGCGAGGACGAAAGCACGCGCCTTTATCAGAAAATAAATATTTACGCGATTTGTGTCATGCAGTTATCGCGGAATAATTTCGATAAACCACTAAATAAACGGCCGCCGCAAGGAAGTCACCGCGACTGATACTAAAATAGTGATGATAATCAAATGCAACCTCGCACGATTATTCCTGTCGCAGGTCAAGTTATCGATACCTTATCGGTGGAATATCCTCGGCGTAAGTGAAAACGTAAAATAAAGGTATGGTCAGATCACAAACGACCAAAAGCACAATGATCATCCAAGACAGCATGATCGGCAAATAGGTGTTTTTGGCGATGTGCCTCGACCGGAATGATAAGGCGATCATAGGGCACATCAGAGCGCCCACGATGCAATAGACTACGATTTCCAACAAGCATTCCCTCATGCCGACCTAAATCGGAGAAGAAAACTCCAGCTTATGTCCCTCAACATTACTTACACATTTTTCAAACTTGCCTTATCTCTAAGTAACGCCATTCATTAAGGAATTACTGCAGTAGGAAGTGATTTTTTAATCTCCAAGTACTTAAGTTTCCAAGGTTAAGTAAATAATTTTTTCTATTACGTTTTAAGTGGAAATTTAATTTAAAAAAAA